TTTTTCAAGGGGGGGGGGGGCCCGCCACGGCACAAAAATATTTTTATCACGCGAAAATATTTTTTCCTGTCCCCCCTTCAGGACTTTTTCGTCTCAAGGCCCCCCCCCCCTGCGTACGCCACTGCTCCTAACCAGCTACTTTACTGGGTAATCATATCACAATTACCTTTGGAAAACTTGACTGAAAACCAAATATCGAAAATTTTTAATTTAATGACTGTAGTAGTCAGTAACCTCTATTTCCTAATATATGTATCTCCTATCAAAAAGAAAATAACTATATTAGTGAATTGAGATTTCCTTATTCGTTTCGGACTCTGATAGAAATGCATAATACTAACGTCCTTCATAAAGATAGACAAGAACATAACCAAGTGCTTCAAGATCATCACGTCTTGATTGTTCTTTTCCAAGATGTGAATTAATTGATGCATAACGTGGTGTACCTGTAAGACCTTTGCCTTCACGATAGACGATATGTCGTCGTGTTTTAGAATCAATATATCGTTTTGAAAGACCAAAATCAATTAGATATAAACGATGAGACCAAGCAAAAATTCCCATTAAGAAATTATCAGGTTTTAAACTAAATTTTATTTTTATTCTATTTAAAATAAAGAAAAATATTCACATATTAACTTACTCACGATGTAGAAATGTACGCGAATGAATATGTTGTAAACTAAATCAAATAAATCTCTTAAAACAACACGAATTAAATCAAAAAACAAATCTACCGTTTAAGCATTTGTTCAGCAAGTAAAAGAACAGTTTTAAGTGAAAATGATCGACGACAATAACATAAAAGATCTTCAATACTTGGACCTAATTTTTCCATAACTAATACATTATAATTATCAACTTCACCAAACCTTGAAAAAAAAAACAATATGATCTCAAATTTTTGAATTTAATCAATTGTTTTTTTTTTCTACACACTAACCAAAATATTTTCGGAATACCAGTTCCAGAAATAAGTTTTAAAACTCGTGCTTCATAAGCTAATTGTGGATATTGAAGAGAATGAGATTCAAATTTAATAGCAACTTGTTCATGTTGATGAATATCATCTGCTTCAAATATATGTCCAAATGAACCCGAACCAATCATTGTTGTTACACGATATCGATTTATAATCAATAAAGGTACTTGAGGTTCTTCATTTGTTGATGTTATTGCACGTGAAGCACGTACTATTTTACCTGATGGTTGATGTGTAACAATGAGTGGTGCTGCACCTTCAGCTCGAGACATTATCAAACAAAATGATCTTATTCAATCAATCCATTATACGCAGAGAGAGAGAGAGAGATGAAAACACAAACGATAACGCAAAATAAAAGAAAAGTGACGCGCTCAATTGAATAGTTATTATTTATTTTTATGATAATTTAGTAATAATAAATGTTGATGTAGATATTTCTTTCTGAGAACGAAGAAAAAATTCAATACTTAAAACATATGACCAAATTAGAATAGTTCAAGCATTTGTTATTTTCTTACTTATATTTCTCGTTGATTTTGCATTTAGTAAAATGCATTATAATATCATCCATTCTCTTTTACAAATAAGATATTTATTCTGTACTTTTGATAGTCAGAAAAAGGAATCTAATGGATTTGATGAAGAATCTCTATCAACTTAACGTAAAAGTACAAAAAAAACATACCTCCATAGTCTGAATGATAAACTTATAATGAAGTACACTTGCTTAGTTATTTTCAAATTTATCATCTACTGTCATTGAAATATATATGGGAATGGCCAGTTAGTATGATACCCCATTTTGATACACTCCTATTGTAAGGATAAAACATACTATTGTTCGGGTCATATAAGAGAGGATCCTAGATAATCCTGGATTGGCCCGAACAATATCATGTTTTATCCGTACAATAGTAGAGAAAAGCTACTAGCTTATCGTGTGAGTTGGTAGCTTTTCTCTACTATTGTACGGATAAAACATGATGTTATTCGGGCCAATCCAGGGTTATCTACAATCCCCTCTTATGTGACCCGAACAATAGTATGTTTTATCCTTACAATAGGAGTGTATCAAAATGGAATATCATACTAACTGGCAACTCCCATATATATATATGTTATATCAAAGTTACACTGTTCAGCAAAGTTGTAAGTTCAATGTTAACATTTATCAGATCTATTTTTTTATTCGTTAATCCATAAATAATTTATTAATTGACTATTCTACTGCTATAACGTATGATCGAAAGCAAGAGCGTCTATCTAATAAATATATATTTATTTCACAGTAGACAATATGCACAAAATATTACAAAATAAATAGATGTATATGGTTTTGAATTGATTGATTGTAACGTCGGAGATACATCATTTTTGCAAATCTTGAATTTTAATTTTATAAAAAGTTAAGATGATGATAAACGTGAAAAATTTTCTCCAGGATATCAAGAGATAACTCTATCAGATCATAAAGAAAAACAAAACATGTAAAAAACTTCTCTTAACGAAATGTTATCATCTCTGATATCGATAATGGTAAAGTATATGCTAATAATATCTGTGATACGCTTATAAAATTAATTAAAAATATAAATATATAAGCGAACACAGTCAAAGTCATAAGATTTTAATTGACAAATTTATTTTCATAATTTCCATAATGAACATTTATATGCCGAAAAACAATATGTGTGTAAAATTTAAATTATATTAGGAATTTTCATCGATCATTAATACTTTGGCTTTTACTCAATGATAATTTCTTTTGCATGGTCTCCTGATAGGGATGCAGCAATTCATGTTCTTAGAACTAGTCAGAATTGTTTACTAATTTTGTATATATTCACATGAATTAATAATTCAATTTCAAGTTTTTTCAAGATCAATTATTTCCAATCAATTTCGATTCCAGTACCAAGTCAAAAAGCAGAACCGGAATTGGTTAAAACTAGAATTGGTACATCCCTATCTTTTGCTGTATTTATATTTATTAGGAAAAAACCAACTTTCCATCATACATCTTAATAGTAGAGTAGCCTATGAATCAATTGCTGATTGATTGGCATATTAAAACTAACTTTGATAAACGCTAACATCTAAGTTACAACTCAGCCGCTGTAATCTCAATAAGTCACATATATAGCTTATTCTGAGACCTAACTATAACGAATATTAAAGTTATTTGACATCACTACTCAGCAGTAATTCGATAAAATAATAACGACCAACGTGAGCATCATGTGAATCTTCATAAAATAAAAATCAAGACTAACTTATGATTGTCCTCTGTAGCTCATTAACTAAAACTATATGTTAATACACGATGTATAAAAGATAAATATCTATTTAGTAGTAATGTTTGTAGAAAATGTGAAAGTAGTACATCAGCAATTTTATTTATTTTTTCGATCTAAATAATTCGAAGGTATGTGGCTTTGGTTTGGGGGTGAATTCAAGCACAAGTATAAAGGTGTGAATCTTCTCTTTAGCCATTGTGTCACACCAGCATCTGCATTTAAATTATAGCCGCCAAAATTGTCAATAGGCTGGCCCATTACCCGATTGCGACACTTACTACAACATGAATGAAGCGTTTGAGTATTTCTTTCGCGTTACAGTTAGTACTACACTCAGTCCATGAGTCACTTCATTCCGAGCTCTGCTAGCTATGCACTGTCTACCTATATGCACACATCTCCTTATTATGATTCACTCATGAGAGAGGTATGCGTACAAAATGGTAAAAAATTATGCTTTTTCGATATACTTGGGAGTATTGATCAATTCATTAACAGTTCATTCATTTCAACTAATATTTTTATGAAAAGTACTTGTGCATAAGGCGTATTCACAATAACAATTTCAAACTAACCAATCGTATCCTTAATGAGATCCGACTGTCACCAAAAAGTATATAAAATAACAAAAAAATGAGCTCTTTTGTGTCGACAGTGCTCTGAGAAAAATTTAAATATTTCAAGAACGACAGTGTTGGATGTAAGACTGGGTTAATCATTATGAATGAGAGCCACGAGAAGACTCACCTCCTGAGTTCATACAGTCACGCTAGAAACAGGTCTTCGACATATGAGTGAAGAGGATTGATTTTTTATTCTACTCTGATCAGATTTCGTTTTTTTTCATTGCTCCACGAGCCTTTAGAGATGGTCGCTTTTTCTGACTTCCTACTATCACTATCGTCATGTTGTCTGCAGTTCATTCGACACATTGGAAATTATTTTGCAGTATTGTTATGTTTGATTTCAATTAGTTTTTACTGAATATAAATAATCACATAGTTGGTGAGAATTGCTTCAGTGAATTGTTGAAGTAAATTACATGAGTCGAATGATGAACAAGGATTTTACTTGCTGATTTCTTTTGTGTGAAAGTTCATGGGATCAATCAACGATTGTTTATAAACATACTTGGCCAATAGCGGTGAGAACGATGTAGTTTAAAAGAAATTCGGATTCAGTATGATTGCATAATCTGGTTGTTATTCAAAACGATAACAGATGTAAGCGGTCATGTAAAACTGATAAATTTTCGAAAGTTCATCATATTCGTACTTACTGATTGAAAACTCGACACTCGGTCTCAACAAAACCTCGTCTTCTTCTGTAAATTGGGAAAGTTTTTCAATATCGAGTGCTCGTACATCCTTCCAAGACGAATTATAAATAGCGCATTGCGTGTCAGCAGTTCGGCAACATTTTTCATTTTACTTGTGGAAGTAAATCCAAGCCATTTGTAAGATCCCTTGTCAGTTGCACGCTTATATGCACGCAGATCGGCCGCACAAAGATATTCGCCACGATAAAATACTAAACTTTCAGTACTAGATTGAGGTTCATTAAATGCGGAAAAGAGACATTTACAGAAAGGACCAAGAGTTTTGACTTTGTGTTCATCTCTGGTGCATAAAAACTTATTTACTGTGGATGGTAGAAATGAATTCCGAGTATAGGGCTAGGTTCTCAGCTTTAGCTAGGTTCTCAGCTTCGGATTGTTTGTCTGCCAATCTTCCTTCAAATCGAATACCGTCATCTACCACAGCAATGGTAAGTTTGTCCCACAAAGATAAAATATGTTCGATGAAGGGATCTTGTTTGCAATTTTCAGCATTGTAAAAAGACAGACATTTGTGTTGTCGACGTATCCTTTTCATTTTCGGTATATTCCTCTTTATGCGACACAAATTACCATTCTCAGAAATTTGTAATCCCAAACTGAGGCTAATTAACTCATCTTCAAATTCGAAAATGGATACGCCCCTTCGGTAAGCATGTTCAAGCGTGAGCTCTTCACTTCTGCTATATCCACACCACGGCTCATCTGACGTTTCATTAGAAGCGCTATTTGGTTTAAATATCCATAAAGATTTTGAAGGACTACACGCACGAACCGACTTGGGAGAGCCCATTGCTGACGAAACCTTGAACGAAACATAAGATTTAGGATAGCAGCATTGTATAAACTTATCCAACATCTTACACTTTCTCTCGATAAAGGAGAAGCAGATTCACTGGATATGATCTCGTCGCCGGTAGCGTATGTCGAAGTCCACATCAGTGCTTGTTCTCGGAATTTATTAGGACTATGAGAGAATAAAAAACCTGCTTCTAAGAAAATGAAATAGGCAGGACCAGGATTGCAGATGAGCTTCTTGATTTCTTTCAAGCAATAGCGTACTCCTGAGTTTGATATATAGTTCGGAAAGTCAATCGATATAGCGCCATCGAAACCGACACTTGAATGAAAGATTTTCGTGTTAAAGCGGAAATTTGGAGGTTTAAATGGATATGTTGGATGAAATGTAAGTGATAACTGAAAAACTCCTTTCTCATATGGAGTTCCACATGGACCGTCCATGTATAGCCGCCATTTTCTCAGCTCATTCGGATAGTAGGGTTCAACCAACCATCCAGGCTCGACATATTCTCGCAAATTTTTGAGCTCTTGTGAAAGGTGACGGTGAAGATGAGAAGACAAGTGTGGTTTTTGCATTGATCGTGTTTTACAGTTCTGTAGTAAAGGGAGCAATACCTGGTATTGTAAGCTCCATAAAAAAAACAACGACTATTTGCAATACTCTTTAGGGATGTGACAACACACGATCTTGCCGATTTTTTCGTGAACACACTTGGCAGTTAACTAAGAATCCAAACGATACAAGTTACTCTGACGAGTTCAGTTCTATTTTGTGATTGAGAAAATCTGAAATGGAAGTCAAAGTTATGTTGATGAAAAATTTACAACAAAAAAT